ACACTGGTAGAGCAATCCCGATCCCACCCCCAGAAGCCAGCTAAGAGAGGTTCATTTGGAGCAGGGCCTCCATCAGTGGACAGAAGCTCTGCAGTCAGAAACTACTACTGGTATACCTGTAGAAAGCTCTGCATGTCTTTATCTGCTGTAAGGGGTGATCCAAAGCCCTCCTTGTTCCCCAGTGGCATGCTAGATCCAGATCCAAACCTACACCAACTTCAGACTGGGATGGTAATTTTTTCCTCTATTAGTTTCAATGGGAGGCAAAACACTAAAGAAAAAAACTGCCAAGATTGGACAGTGTGTGTTTGGGGGAGGTCATTTTAGCTCTTTCCCCTATGTTATTTCTCCTGTAAAAATTGACCCCAAGCTGAATACATGTTGTAGCAATTTTAATGTGGAGAACAGAATTCTTTTATTTAATATTTATTTAGGGTGTGTTGCGAATGAAAGAGGCAGTTGTTCTTGGCATGTATTTCAGGCCCAAGGTGACACTGACGGTTCAGATAAGGACTGTGAAGCCTGGGAAAGGAGGCCTGAAGACATGAAGATGGCAAAGGTGGAAGAGCTTATCTCAAGGCTGCTGTCTCCAGGTGTTCAGGCAACTGGAAAATTACAGGGTCTGGAAATGCAGGGAAGGGACATGGGAGAGGAGCCTGGTCTGAACCTTGACCCCATGACAAAGTGTCAGGAAAGAAGGGCTAGCCAACTAGAGGGCCTACCACTGCTCTGCCTTGTCCTGTGCATTTTATCCAGATGGCCACAAAATGGCCTGGAAGTGGAGAGAAAAGACAGAGGAAGTAAATCAGTTCTTCAAAGCCTGAATAAGCAGACTGGGCCAGGTTAGTGCCCTTGTTTGAATAGAACAGAGAGATGTGATCCTACAGCAGCTACACCTACCAGGTAGGTGGTAGCTACACCTACCAGGTAGATAGCTACACCTATCATTTCTCTCTTCCACCCCATCACTGTTTAAAGAACCAAACCGAAGTGTTTTTCACCACAAGCAATTCTGGTCTTGGCATTTATTTAAGTCCACAAAAACTAATATACTCATATCTTTTTACTAAAGATAAAACCTTGTCATATCAAGGTCAAGGAGCAGCAAGAATCTAACAAGAGAGCACTTTGAGAGATAACGCACCACTGGATTATCCACTGCTTTGCTTTGCTTTGCTTTCTGCTTTGCACAACAAGTGATAGTGCAGCATTTCAAAGCTAGAGTGACAGGGTCCCTCGAGCATGCCTGTCACAAAGTGAGCTCCGAGAATGCTATTTGTTATCAGATCAGGTCTGGGGGCTTTCTCTTGTGTTCACCAGAGAGCTTGAGAAGCCCTCAAAGCTACAAGGGGGTGCCGAAAAGTTCTCAGCCTGAGCAAGAAAACAACAAAACGAACAAAACAAAACCACAACATCCAAAACAGAAACAAACATAAGTGGAACAAGCAATACAAAAACAAAAAGAAGATAGCAAAACATAAGTGTCTCAGGCTGAAAACTGTTCAGCACCTCCTCATATACTGTCTTTAAAAGTCAATTTGTATCTCATACATTAATGTCTGGGAGAGCCATTTTGTGTAATGTCAGGTGTTATGCACACCCAATTTCTAGAACTCTCTACTCGGAGAGGTTCATTTTGTCAGCCTTCCAGCTTGCCACTGCTGCAACATTAACGACTTCCTGTTTGGGAAGTCTTCAAGCTGGATCGGAGGCTGAGCTCTTTTGCCTGCCTTTCCCATAACCGGTATATGATCTTTCAGTGTATAAATATTGAAAGTATCTTTTGTATATTTTTGTTAGGTTTGGTTGCTGTTATTCATCCTGAAGTGCAGAAAGAAAGGAGGATATAAGCAATCTAAATAAATGAAAAATTAACACACCTGGAGAGATAATCATGTGTGTTCTCTCATTCAAAGTGCATTTCATAAGAATCAGTATCTTCATGTCTGCTGTCCATACATACATTTTAAAGGCAAAAGGAAGTAAATACTGGCATATAAATAGATACCATGATCTGCTCAACTTAAGCCCAGAGAATCTTAAAAGCAACTTCTCTCCTTCCTCCTTACCTGAGTTTCTACTGGGTTTTTTATATTTAGAATCCTGGCATTCATGTCAGCTTAATGATACCTCACTAAATATGGTAAAGCATACTAATGGAATCTCCCAAATAGCAATTCATGAAATTCAAAGTATGAAATTTCAGTAGTTTAACATTTTGTTGTAAGTTAGTCTACCAAAAGGATAAACTCTGGTTATTTCTCACTAGCAGGCATTTTCCCAGAAAATTTCCTCAGAAAATCTTTGATACACCAAAAGGAAAGAGAAGCATGGGTTCTTTATCTTTGGAACAGGAGTAAAGAACCACATGATACTGGGGAATGCAGCTCTGATGACACCACTCACCGCAGTATCCATGGATCATACACATAAACATAGACCCCAGATTTGGTAAACCCACAGCCTTTTTTTAAATTAACAATTGAAACCCAAAACCCTTATAAAAACAGTCTGCAGGAAAACCCCAGAAGACATACACACACCACTTTTTATAAGCAGCAGAACAGACCTGTTTGTATTTTATTACATTTAAATGGCAAAAGAAATAAAATAAATAAAGAAGTGACTGCCCTCTGGCCTTTTCTTTGTCTATTGCAATTGGCAGGAAAGAGGCTGTCTTTGGGCACAACTTTATTAATACATACAGGCACTCAGCATCTCCCAACCAGCAAATATGGTGGGGGGAGGGCAGGGTGGGAATGTACCCCCATCCACTCTTACCAACTCAAGGAACTGGCCTACTTCTTTTGCCCTTGAGTCTGCTCACACTTGAGCTTTTGGCCTATGGTGAAATTGTGCATTGGATATACGGCAGGGCTAAGCACAGCTCTCTTCTCCACCAGTTTTCCAACCTCCCCCCTGCCCACCATGGGCATTACTGTAAGTGCCTTCCCAGCCATGAAAGGCAACATGTTCCTGCACATAATGCATTGGGGCAGGATCAGGACATTTCATTTTCAGTGAGCCACCCCTGCTTTTTACGGTTCTCGTTGTCTTCCAAAATTGTGATAATTATGAACAGAATAAGAATTATGTACTTTCCAGGTGAAAACATACCCAAGGGGCATGAAAGCCTGTCTTCATTGTGTATAATGCTTGGGTTGATAAAGAGGGCTGGTGACACTGACTACTTGGACCAAATGTGGCCTATCAGGCTAATAGGATGGACTTGGAAGGATGGCTGGCTTTGGTTGCCCCTTCCTGCCCTGTAATATTTTCCTTCATGCAGGCATGGGCCAAGGGACCCTTTACTCCTAGTTTTATGTGGCTGGCTAAGACAGCTTTCTGTCAGAGACTTATTGGAGGCAAAAGAGCAGAATGAGAAAAAAGTTTGGTCTGGGTCTTGAATAGTTTTCACTGCTCAATTTGATGGACTTCATTATCTTACACCAATGATTTGAGTGTACTTTTGAATTCCTGTTATAAGCCCTTGTAGATCCACTTGGTCCAAACTAATATCATCATCAATTTATTAACAATATTTATATGTGACTGAATACCAAGGTACACTGAGTGATTTATAGTCCCAACATGCTTTCTAACCCTTTTCATGCTTTCTAATGCTTTCTAACATGTTTTCAGGTATAATAATTCATAAAATATTCTGTAACTTTTCTTGCTCCATCCTTTGTTTACCAACATCGGTCCGGGGATTGAGACATCGCTGGAGGGCCGCCCCAACGCCCTCGCTGCTGATCCGCCGCTGCTGCTGGGACACACCTGGGCTAGGACGCGGCTGCTGCCACTCTCCCCAACACCGGCAAGGTCTCCAAGGTCCCACACATGCTTCCTCCCTCTCCCGTCTCTCCACACAGGTGGCAGCTGTGCCGGGCGCAGTGGGCGGTGTGAATAGAGTGCGTGGGTGGGGCAGACAGAGCCCTTTTCTTGCCAGTCACAGCCAGGGCCGGCTGTCTTGGGATGATGGCCAAAGGGCAGGCCGTTTGGGGCCATGAGGGGCCAGGCTGGGCTGGGGTTTTGGTCCTTTTGGACTTTTCCTCCCCCTTCTTTCTCTCCATTTTTTTTCTTTTTTCTCTTCTCTTCTCTTCTTCTTTTTCTTTTTCTTTTCCTTTTTTTTTTTTTTTTTTGATCTGGTTGTTATTGTTGTTCATTTGTGGTGGCTGTTTTATTTGCTTTTAATTCAGGATGATTTTACCTGGGGAGCAGGTGGGCACCACCATTGAGGTGGTGATGGGCAAGGGAAGATATAGTGCTGGGGGTCTAACAAGCCAGCATAGAAGAAGGAGGGACCGATGTTTGATACCGGTCCCTTCTTCTAGTTATTCCCCCAACTAGAAGGTTCCTGGCAGCAATATCAGTTGGCCCCCAGGTCTGATGGTGTTGCTGTTCAACGTTAGGTCGGTCCATAATAAAACATCTGTCATCCATGATTTGATCATGGAGGAGGGGGCCAGCCTGGCACGTATTACGAGACCTGGGTGGGAGAAGGGGGAGATGTCTTCTTCATGCAATTGTGCCCACCCAGATATCTCCTCCAACACTGGTCAAGCCCAGAGGGGAGGGGAGGGGGAATCAGTCTGGTTCACCAAGCCAATATTTCCCTTGCAAAGCTTCCTGTCCCTTCAAGACCGGGTCTTGGGTGACTGAGACAGATTAGGGACTCTGCTGGTGTACCATGAACCCTCCTGCCCAGCAGACTCCCTGCCTGAGCTGACAGAGATCATCTCGGACCTGGTGTTGAGGACCCCAAGGATGCTGGTCCTGGGGGACTTCAATATCCATGTTCAATATCCAAAACTCAGCATAGATTATATAAGTATATAATCATTATATAACCCTTCCAAAAAGCACTTTTCCAATATCGGAATGAATACAAATCTTGGCAACCACCACAACAAAACTACTAGTGATTATATTCACAATATATTTGCAACATGAAGAGATATGCAAAATGTTAGAACACATAATAGAAGGATACTTACAATGATAACCAGGTTCAATAGTGTTAGCAGCCTCGAGGCTGTTTATTGTGATTTGAAAGATGATATGCAGAAGCAGAAATGTTAGACTCATGAAACACAAGGATTTTAATAATCGTCCTGTGTGCCCTGAAAGACACAAAGCAAAATGCAAAGTTATTTTAAATGATGAAAACCTTCACATGGATATATTGCAAACATACTGAAATATTAATGTATGTAAAATGTATTGAAATGGTCATAGTCATAGATATTGGCCTCATGATTTCTTGATAGTGGAATGAGGGGAAACTCTTACCCACCATGTTAAAAAGAGCAAGGAACAGCTGAGGAGAGGAGAGGAGAGGAGAGGAGGAGTTCAGAAAAAGTTATTTTGTATATGGGAGAAAGTATTGCAGTCTTCAGAATTCTAGCACTATGCTCCATCAAAGGCAGGCAATTTGGATATGGTGATTTGATATGTTTTTCTTCTAACTTTGGTATCTCTAGCAAAAGGGATATCATGCTTGACCAAGTTTAAATGGTGCATTGGGAACATGTTTCTTCTGATGATAACATTTGTTTCTACATGCTATTAAAAGTATACTGACACAAATTTTCCTTTACTTTAGACGAGACTAGCATTGTTACTGGTGCATGGAAACAGAAGATTTTTAAGCCTGTCTTCCCCTGTTAACTATGAGGTTATAACAAATTCAGAAAGTAGAATTGATTTTTTATGTTATTTGAACTGACCTAATTAAAGTGTTACACTATATAGATGTTGGGTTTTTTCATACGGCCTTCATCATGTGTTTGTTTTTAGGACCAGCATGAAGCTATGAGAATCTCTTTTCCAAAGGATTCAGAGCATACCTGCATAAAAAATTACAGTAAAGGTATGTGATTTCTTTAAGAAATTTGGATTTGAAAAGCCAAAGAGAAAATTACTTAAGGGGGGGATCCGATCACTTAAAAATTTTTTGCAGGACTTTCTGTTGCTTTTTTAAAGAAGTTTTCATGCCCAGAATAGTATTAAAAGCTGCATCCTTTGCATCAATAGACAATGTCACCCTTCAAATTAGTCATACTTTGAAGTCAAACAGACTGGCAAGTTTGCATAAGCAAGGTATCCATTTTGTTAACAAAATATTTTGTCAGACAGAGGTTGCAGCATAACTATTCTCATTATTTCCAGAGGCCTGTTTCCAAATTTCAACACATAAAAACAACTATTTGGAATTTGCCTACTTACTTTACTGGTAATAGCAAATCACATAATGCTTTGAAGGAAATGGTTATTGGGAGGTTTTTTTTATGAACCTATGAGCATAAGAACTGTAAAACATTACAGAACAATTTAGTATTCATGTAAACCATCCTGATGATAAATGTCTTAGCAAACTAATTTTAAAATAAAGAAACATTTCTATTAAATCATAGATGCTATTCATTAAACCATTTCTCAGAAAAGTCACAAGGATAACCAAACTCAGGGCAGCAATTCCACATTTAGGTTGTGAAAACCATTAATTTGGGCTAATTAATCAACTCTGGTGAGGTTGATAAAATGAAGTATTGAACAGGCAGAGGGGCATGGAAAAAAAATGTCCACAGAGTGCTTGCTAGATCTTGAGGGTCTTGGTAGAAGCAGCTTGGTGAATTCCAAAAACTCTCATAATTACTGACAATGCGGGGAGGAATGTGGTTTAAATGTAGCTGGTTGTTTGGTTTGTTGCTTTTTAAACCATAACACACATCTTAACAAGAGTAGGGGGCATAGTACAAAAATGGAGAATTCTGTCTAAGCAGAGAGAAGAGCATGGGGATTAAAATTAAGATTAAGGAGATTAAAAACACCAACAAACCAACAAACCAACCAACAAGCCCTCTATCACCACACTAGGGCTCCAACCCAATGCAGTACTGCTATAGCAGACTGCGACATGTATGTGCAATGCGTAGATCCCCCCATCCCCCTGCCCCCGCATTCTTTATTATTACTTCCTTTAAAGAAATGAAGTACAGAAAGGAAGAAAAATCTAAAAGAAAAATAAGAATGCCAAGGGATCTTACCCCAATATAACATATACATTAATAACCTGCAAATTCCTTAAAAAGTCAGAAACTTCTGTCTTTCTGTCAATTAGTACTTTGTTGAGGCTTGCAAAAAAAAAAAAAAAAAAAAGATCATTATAATTCCCTAAAAAACAAATTTTCCACACACACATTTTATCAATTCTGGAAAACAACTGCCAAAATTAAGAGGAGGAGGAGGAAAAGCACTACGAACATTCCATTTCTCATTTTCATGCATCCCAAAGCAGTTTATATATTTATCTTTAAATGAAAAGCACCATACTAGAGACTAAACTGAGACTTTCTAAATGACCAAAAGTTAGTTAATGTAGCTAGAAATTGTGGTATCTTGTTTCTTTTATCCCTGAATATGTTCTATACGTTGATCCCTGTTTTCCATGGGTCAATCATGCTTTTTGCCAGTGAATAAATAATCCCAATAGTGAGCATTCAGTGAGTGTGATCTCTGAAACTCCTTCCTCAAAGAACTCTGCCACTCCACTTCCTTATCTTCAACCTGCTTGCTGTGTCCAGATTTAGAAAGATCATGGATGTGGCTGGCCCAGCAATGAAGTAAGATAAAACTGGAAGCGAGGGCCATAACGCTACCTGAGCAGACTTTGGGTGTAATTAGTAACCCCGCCTCCTATTCCTTTTTCCTTTTGTGTAAACTTTAAACAGTAAGCCTGAACAGTGAGACTGACTTATTATTCATCTTTGTAAACTGCACTGGAAGTATCATTTTGGCTGAACAGCAGGTTAGAAATACTGCAATAAATCAATAATATAGGATAGTCTCCTAAGTTAAAGAGAAGTGATGTGCATTGCACATGGGCAAGTGCATGCATACACACATGCACAGAAACAAAGAGAGTAATTTATCATTATCTCTAGCTATACAAAGCTTTGACTGGAATTAGCCTGATGTTTTTCTTTACTCCCTTGTAACTGTACACAGCTTCAATTCAGATCAAGAGCTGTGTGCTTTGGAATTCAACTTCCACACCACCATATTCACTAATGTGGTGTGGAATTCACTTCCACACCACAAAATCACACACACACTTGCTCTGGAGGCAATTAAAAAAGAAAAGAAAAGAAAACTTTCAAATAATTCCAGTATACTCAACATTGCACAGCTCCAGGACAGAAATTTTGTCTCTCTAGTGCAGGCTAAACCAAGCACAGACAGATCCCAAAAATTTGTGAAAAGAGTATAAAGTCAATATGAAAGTACATGACATTGCTACCAAGTTACCACTGATGTTTTTAGTTTAAATATTAGTCAGCATTATAAACAGGAAGTAAAAGGTCAAAGGAAAGTGTTGTGTTCATTCATTGAAACTACATCTCAAAGCAGTAATCCAGAGAAATAGAAAGAAGCCCATGGGTATTCATATGAAGCAAAATAATGAATATACATTCAACAAAGTTGATGCACTAAGACTGCAACCCTATGCAAATAAACATGGCAGTGAGCCCCATTGAGCAAATAAGTGGACTTGTTTCCAAATAAACTCTGTTAGGATCAGGGTGTAAATGACCTACATGAAGATAATTTACTATACAATATCTTACAAAACAATCACCATTAAAAATATTAGAAAGTAGCAGCATACAATTGTTCTGAATTATTACAATATATTACTTAAATTATTTGCATTGGTGCACAACTCATTTCAGCTCACATACTTTCACGCTTCCTCCTGTGCAGCCATACAGAGGAAGTCAGATACTTCTACTCCCCAAAACTTCAACCAGTCCTGCTGTGGCTTGCTGAAACAAGCCAGATTCAAAAAATATGTCTTGAAGTTAGCTTCTTTCATCAGTTCATAGCCAACACTGACCACAGTTTGTGTGAGTTGGAACATCATGACAATCGGCAATTAATCAAAAGTAAGACCTTAGCTACTTAAGGTCCCTTTATGTCTCTTTGGACTCCTTGGATGCATTGGAGCAATGGCCTACTCATATAATGACAAATCTTGGTTGCTAAAACCAACCTTGGCCTGTCGGTTCTGAGCAGCAGTGAACAATCACGCAACTTTCAGTACAGTTGTCACTTTAACTTTCAACTCAGGAATGCCCCTTAAAACAACCAAGACCTGCTGTTATATGTTAATATGTCAATATGTTTTAAATGATTTTAAATGGCCACAACATCATTAACAATTCCAGCATCAACACACTGAGTAGCACTGATCCCTCTAATTCTGAAGCTGGGTGACAAATGGCTATAGCATGGTAGTCCCAGTAGCCCCAGCCTGAAAAAAGAAGATGCCATCTTCATGCATGAAAGAACTCCAAGGTGTGCACTAATACAACACCTGGATATGCACAAGTATAAGACACAAGTAAACCAAACACTGTGATTTTGTGCCCTCTGAAGCACAGGAGAGAGGGGAAAGGAACATGTGTATCTATAGCCCTTTCAGACTCCATGAAAATTACCTGAGCCTTGGAGGAAGGAGAGAAACCTCAAAGTTCAGCCTCAAAGTTCCAGCTACGCCCTGTGTACAGGTGCAGAACTGGGGAACTCAGCTGTATGTCTTCCTTTCCCAATCCCCAGATCCATTGCCAAGGAAGCGCTTCTGGCACCAGCTAATGGCTAGCTCCTGGCCCATGCTGAGCTAGCCATCTAAATGCCCTAGTAACCCCAACTTCCTGCACTTCTGCAGGATGGAGAAGATACAGGAGATGCCATGCTCAGGGAAGGAGAAAGAAGTGCCTGTGCATCTGGAAGATGCAGGAGGCTGCGATGCATGAGGTTGCCCTGTCCTCAGAGAAATCAAGATAAGCCAAGAGTTCCTCATAATGTATGGGAAAGAGGTAGGTAATACAATGGAAATTTACATGTGAAGAAAAGCGCATGGGATCAGAGCATAAAGGGGAAGAATGCAAAAGACTGATACATCTCTTTCCTCTGCAACTTTTTGGGTCAAATGGCACTTGTTCCCACAAGCAGCAAACTCAGGTGATTGAGAGTCGACAAAACTGGAATCAAAATGGAAGCCACTGAGAAACATGGTAGGAGCGGTGTGCTCAGGTATGCAGCAGCACAGTTTAGTTAT